AAGACCAATTCCTTTCACATAATCTGAAGAATGAATCCCTGTTTGGAATGATGTCTCACTCAATGTGATCCAGATGTGACATGAAGTTATAAAATATTGGCAGTCCAAGATCAAGCTAATAAACCTTGCCAAGCCATTGCAATGTGCAGTAATCTACAGAAAACAAATGACAGAATCACATGAAATAAACAAAGCATGAGTTTAATGTATTTCTTTAGTCTCCCACTATGTTTGTACTTGATTGCTTTTTCAAGACCACCAGTCTGCCAGGCTGTCATAAAAGTGGTCTCCTGGCAAGGTTTGTGATGTAAGTAGGAATCAAGAGAAAAGGGATGGGAGAACAAAGATATTACAGAGATATACACAAGTCTTTTTCACTGAAAATTTTGTTTGCAATCATTTGTTGTTGTTGCTGTTGTTGTTGTTATTGTAATGAGTAATTTTTCCACTTTCTGTTCCAAGCCAGAAGGTCTGTTTTAAGCTGTATTAGTCATTAACGGCCTTCTGGCTCCAAACAAACGATTTAGAACCTTACAAAAAAGAAAATGTAGAATTTAGAAAAAAGTTGCTAAAGCAATTGCAGTGTAGGAAAAAGGAAACAAAGGGATGACATTACAAAATGTTGACAGGAGATTGAAAAGCCATGTTCAGTGAAAAAACAAAATTTCAGTCATTTTTGGGAGGTATACTCAATGAAAGAGGATGCCATATATGCAACTGTTCCACATAATTGTGTGTGTTAAGAGCCAAAAGGGCAGTACAACCGTGTGTAAGTATATGAGTTAATGCTTTTCTCGCTCCTAACATGATTTAGAGGGACAAAATATGTAGACAAAATTATTGCTTAAGCCATTACAAGGGGGAAAAATAAAACAACTAGAAGCACAAACATCTCAATGTATCATACCAAAATTTGATGCTCAGTGATTTCCTACAAATTTATGGATCTGATTAAAGAAGCGGTCATTTATTTCTTTCTGCTCCAGTTCAACTCCTGGTTCAACCACTTTCCTACCAGAGACCTTATCAAGATCATTATTTAGTAGGCCAAGGCCAACAGTTTCTTATTTACATTCTGGTTTGAAATCTTGGATGACATCCAAGAGATACAGCGGCGTTCTTTCTTTTTCATTAAGCTTGACCTAAATAAGAAAAATGTATGACATAGACCTTTGTAGGAATCTTTTGCATATTTGGAAATATTCACATTACAGCATATTTCACAATTTTGGGGAACTTTTATAAGCTTTTGTATCTTCAAGAAAATTCTTTATTTTCTTGTTTGTTTTCTATCTTCTGGAAGACTCTGGATCTTTTGAAAGATTTTGTATTTCTTGAAAATACTGAAACTTTGGTAGATTCTGTATCTGACTTATGAAGATTTTGTGTTGGATAGTTTGAGAAGATATTGTGATAGTTCACAGATGTAATTCCCTTTTCACATTATGAAATGTTCCAGAAATTGAAATGATGCAGCATATTTGTGGAGTGGCCATGACCACAAGACCTAACTGTGATCTTGTATTACTTCAAGTGCTTCAAGTGTCTGTACTACAGATGTCACACAAGCTGGACACTTGTCCTTAGGAAGTTGGAAACTCATTTTCAGACATTTTCAGAAAACATCCCTCAATATTTTGCTTGGATCTTCTTTAAAATTCTTGTCCACACTTCTCCTTTCTAAAACTTTTTTTTCTTGAACTAAACTTTGGTATAAATGTAAATGCTAGTAGGAGCAGTAGCATAACTAGCATTCCTCATGTTTCAAATTTTTGACCTAGATAGACCTTCAATGTTATACAAGAGATGCCACTGGATCATTGCAAAGAATTCCATATCAAGTTTGACATTAATCTTACTTCTATCCAAGCGATATCCTGGCACCGATTCAATGTTTTTTGCTGGAGGGTAATCACTCCGCATATTTCCATTCTATGAAATAATGACTTTTGACACAACTGTCCATCTTTATGGCTTCTTTCAAAATTAATGTAAATTTGGGTTTTGAGTAGAAGCAGATTGGCACATTGGGTCAAATCGCATCTTATCCTTGATATGTCTAAATGCAATTTGTTCGGCAAATTTGTTTATATTACGGAAAACATACATGCATCATTTGAAGTTAAAGGAGTTAATGATGAAGAAGAGCTGAGACAAGAAAGAGACTGGGATGAGAAGAAGATTGGAAAGAGGAGGAGAAACAAAGAAGAACTTGGAATCTGAGATGAAACGATGAAGAAGAGTAGAAAAATTAAGATTAGAGGAATTTTAATCACAAAACAGACTATATTTTAATGTGAATATAATCAATAGGAATTCTAATCATATTGAACTTTTTGCTAATTGCTTTGTTTTGTAACATTGTTTGTATAGAGCCAGAAGGGCATTAGCTCTTTGTAATAGTCCTTGAGTTGATGGCCTTTTTACTCTCCATACCCCCTGTCCACACACAACATTTTCCGTGATTAGCTATACCGTTTCGCGATAGTGATACCATTTCGCGATAGTTTGTGTGTGTGTGTGTGGACGCTCACTAACGATACATCGTATAACGAAACTAGTCTAACGAAACGCAGGTTTGGGCATCGTTTCGAACTGAAACTCAATAAAGAATCACGCCTAATCACGGAAAATGTTGTGTGTGGACAGGGGGAGTGTAACTAGTGTAACTAACTGGGCGGGGCTTTACGTGACCTCGAGCGAAAGGAGACCAGACTGTAGAGTTTCAGGATTACTTTCTGCTGTTTATGGACATCCTTGAATTTATACGATGATTATTTATATGACGTTTCTTGTGTGTGGACACTTTGAAATTTATACTATGATTCTATATACGACGTTTCGTTATAGAGTTTCGGGATAAATTGTTTTGTGTGTGGACACGCTGAGAGTCTCAAGAGAAAACATGTCAAGTTCGTCATATATACTACCATCATCTTCTGATATGTGACAACAAGATAAATGTTTAAAATCCTCCCAAACCTATCCAATCAAACGGATGACCCTATTATTTTGGCATCCCTGCATTTTAGAGGTGAAAAGGTGATAGAAAGAAAAATTGGGCTTGGCTCCTTGTTTGTAAAGATTTGGGGTTCGTTGTTGACATCAAACTGTTAAACTTCACTGGTCTGTTGCAATAAATAAACCCTGATTATGGAGAGAGGATTTGGAAAAATGACATTAAGTGAAGAGATGATTTATGAAATGCCTTGTCCTAACGAAAGATTTACCTTGCTCTATCTGGGTATGTTTATAAACTGAGAGGAGTGGAAGATGTCTGAAAGTTATGCTAAAACAAGGCAGACCCCAACATTTGTTTTCAGAAAATTGATACAGTCGGTCTCTGATGTGCGCATGCGCCAATCTCTGGTTTATTTTCCAAGCTAGTTTGTGATGAGCGTATATTGGTCTGGTGAAGACGCTATTTTGAGCTACGGAAAAATCTCCCGAGTCTGAAAATAGCGGTTTATTTGGCAAACTCAAGCTGATGAAGACAGGCCTACTTTAGAAAAATTAATTTGAGCTGTATAGTGTGGATATGATGAATTCTTGCAAATATCAGCAGCACACAGACATAATTCCTCCTCCCCCTGCCAAATTCTATGCCAACTTTACCTTTGAAATCTAATGGAGCAGTAATGTTTGTAAAATTGAAATTGTGTATTTCAGATGTGAAAGAATGGTTGTTTTGTAGTTTGATGAGTTTCTGAGCACACAACAACATCACATATAGTTCGGGTTTCTTGACCTCCGGAATGAACGTCTTGTGACGTGGAATGAAGGGCATGGGTCAAAGCGAAGGCTGACCATCCCTTGACCATTCCAGCACAGGTCATTTACCCCCAGCAAGCCTTGCATCAAATCAGACCGATGACAGATTTATCTATGACCAAAGATGGGGAGACTTCAGTTTGCATTACGACTGAAAAATATAAGATAACAAGTATATATCAGGACATAATGGTTTGAAAGACGTGTATATGACTTTGACCGAGATAAGAATTACCTGTGAAATTGTTGAGTGTACCATGTACACGTTTTTGACCCAAATTGACAATGATACAAGGTTGATTTTGTTATTATTTTCTTCATCAGTTGATATATGAATTGGTCAGTGTATTCTGTCAGATAATTGGATTCATTATCTCCCTCGCCCTGTTTTTTGTTATAAACTTATAAATATTTTTACTTTATCTGTTTTCAGCACCTGTTTGGATAGTTCCAAAACCAAAACAAATTTGGAGGATTTTGTTGAAATTTGATAAAATCTGTTGATAAATATTGGATATGAAGCTAATTGGAAAAGAAAGATATAAAAATTAAATTAACAATTAAGGTCTAGGTGATCCAGTTCTGGTAGCTTTTAATCCAACTGGTTCCCATCAGCTTGTAGAGTACACTGTCACTGTCAGCATCTTTATGGATTTTATATCGTCCTTGTTTTCACGAAGTGACGGTAGTGAGGAAAATCGTAACGCAAAGTGAATGCAATTTTGTTCACTACCGTCACTTCGTGAAAACAGCGACGATATCTTTCCTCAGTCTATATTGTACATGATGCATTGATTGAGAGCCAGAAGGGCGTTATTGTATATTTCTATTAATGAATGCCCTTCTTCCTCTCAAAGGGACATCAAGTGACCTGTAGACAACTATACATCAACATTTCCTTTTTTAATTAAAAAAAAACTTGAAAACATAGCATTTGCCTTTTAAAGTAGTTTTTAATGTATTAAAGCTGTTTGAATTGATCCACAAACTACAAGCACTGCTTTTTAGTGGACCCCCCCCCCCCCATTTCTTCATAAATTAAGAATTTCTTGCAATAATTTTATTATGTGCAAAGTGTATTAGTATAATTCCCAGAAAAAAATAATTATGTATGGAAAAATGTAATATCTTTGTTTACCTTTCTGTTGGAAATGAAATAAATATAAATATGAATATGAATATATATGTTCTTATCATTTTCTTTAATTTCACTTCATATTTTTCTTTAGACTTACACATTATCTTCGCCAACACAACCCAGAGTTTATTGAACTATGCCAAGAGCTACGAGGTGCTGCAAGACACTCTTTTGATTCACTCATTCTACTACCGGTAAGTCACGTGATGGTGATGATGATGAAGAATAGCAGGGGTATGGTGGTGGAGGTGATGATGAGGGTGAATGATGGTCTTGAATATAATGATGGTGGTGGTATTGTTGACAATAGTCTTGATGGTGGTGGTAGTTATCTTAGTGAATGATTGGTTAATAGTGTGGTGATGGTGATGATTGTGAAGAAGATGATTACAATGATGGTGATGATAATTACTATAGGAAGACTTGTTTTAAAGGTACTATGTCCCTTTTGCAGCCAACCTCAAATTCTGTAGAACTTTGCAGGAATTATGAATATGTCATGTAAGTCCTATCTGTGAAATTTAAACCTTAGCAGAATCCTCATATTCAAATTATGCAAGGAAACCCGTTTACTTGCTAGACTTAACTGTCAGACACTATAGAGTGACTGACTGGCTTTTTTTTCTTCTTTGGTAATAACATCCATGAAAAGAGTTTTAAAGGGTACATGAGCATTTGTCTACATCAATAAACCACTTCTTGTGATGGCCAAGATTAAACTGATTGAATCTTTGCGCAGCATAAAACGTATGACCATTCGGTACAATTGTCTGAAAATCAAGACTATTACTTTTGGGCTCTATAGCCCTAAAGTCGATTTGACAACTAATAGTCGTTATTTTCCCACTTGAAGACATTTTCAAGCCCCAACTTTTTTAGGGAAGTTCTAAATTAGTATTATCTTTCAAATGCAGTTGGAATTTAACTTTTTCATTTTTTTTTGGCCTGCAAATGGGACATATAGTACCTTTAACTTATAGTTATCAAGATTGTCTATTCAGGTAACTTCATCCTCTTTTACATTACAAACAACTTTTACACCAAATTATCAATTTGTCAGTTTTCCAAACTGAATTTTTAAATTCCATATAAGATTGCTTTAAATCTACTTTTACCAGAAAGTCCATCTTCTAATCTAGAAACAACCAATCTAGATCAGTATGTAACGTTTTGCACGTGCATGAAGCGTGCTTTTTAGGGCGTACTTGATCAAGTTCAACTTCACGACAAAACCGTTTTCAGTCCCAATAAATCTCTGGGAATTGGCTCGTCTACATCGCAAGTTAATTGGGCGGCTTGAAGCTGGACTCTCGTAAAACCCATTCGAATCGAGAGCAGGACTTGGCCCACTTAGCAAAGTCTGGTGACTTTATGACTCCCTCATCTAGCCCAATTCCAAATGAACCTACACGCAATCCTCTACTTAAAAAGACATAATTTCTCTCTGAACAAACTATCGGAAGACGGTCTATGGGATGTTCAGTATGTCAAAGAAGAATGACGTGTGCTGTGAATTTCTGGAATGTTATGACGTAATTATGAGGTGAATTACTACATATGCCTAATTGAAAGTAGTATAAGAATTTCTCTAGAATTTTACAATTTATGAATAGAGTTGTCACTTTCGGGTCAAAGTTCCTTAAAAAACATCTCTTTTAGAAAAAAAATGATATCAATATAGTTGAATGATCAGGACTAGGGTTTGTTAGTGAAGGGACTACCGGTATTTAGATTTAATTTTATAATTGGCATGATGCCGAGCTACAGTGTATACATTTATCAACAAAAATAGTGTTGTGTAATACAGAAAAAAATCTTTAGTTATCCAACTTAAGTTGTTGTTGTAAATTATAGGCATGAAAAGACTGGATATGTTTAAAATATAATCAAGTTGTATATTAAAACAGAACCTAAATATTAAGGTTTTAAGCAATAAATTAAGGTGGTTGTGACCTCTTTATTCTTGATACTGGTTGAGGTCGATGACCCTGTACCTGGTCTTGGTCATTCTGACCTCATTTTACATGTCCAAAGTTGACCTGATTTTGAGTGTTTGATGTTGTCCAGTTCTGTTTTTCATTTCTATTTCCTGCTGTTTGGGAGGGATGTTCATTTATCCTCTAAAAAGCAAATATCACTTTTAAACAAACATGTAGGAAGAAATGTTTGAGACATTCTAGGAGCTCATTCGCACAAAGGTGCATGTCTTAGTGGAGCCAGAAGAGCAACTAGTCATTATACAGTCAAACCTGTCTATAGCGACACCTGTCTAAATCGACCGCCAAAGGGAAACACAAAAAGTGGTCTTTGTAGACAGGTTGCTTTAGTACATGTTTCAATGTGAAACCCTTTTCAAGTGAATCAAAAAATGTGGTTGTTGTAGACAGGTGGTCTTTGTAGACAGATGGTCACTAAAGCAGGCATTAAACAGACGATTTGTTCATTTCATTACACTTTGAGGTATTTAAATTTTCCATTTTCAGGTGTTGGTCAATCGAACAAATAATAAATACAAGATTGAAAGAGTTTTTTTTAATTTTTATATTGGGGAAGTGTCTAGTTCCCTGCTTAATTACAAATCTGATATTTGAAGCCGGACCCATTCCTGTGGTTTGCACTCCCTTGTCCCCGTTCTCATTGACCCAGACTGATTTCCCTTTTTGAAAGTGATGCAAATCCTTCGAAAATCAACCAACATCCTTGCTTTTCTTTGCTTCGAGCCTCTCTATTTCCTTTTCCCTGTTACACCCTTTTCATTATTTTTGTATATTGTAATTTCCTCGTAAAATCAAGCAATGTCCTTGCTTTTCTTTGCTTCGAGCCTCTCTATTTCCCCTCCCCTGCTACACCCTTTCATTTATTAAAAGGTATTTGTAACAGTTTTGCCTTTGATCACAAATTTAAAGGAACTCAAAGTGATGTTTTAGACAGATATGGTGAAAAGATCTTTTAAGGTTTTATTTCAGTTTTTTCATTGAAAATATGATTAGTTCTTGCAGCCAATTATCCACAATATCAAAAGCGAATCTTTTATCTGGTGCCATACTGAAAAAAATGAATAAAGTTGGAAATGACAATGACAATGACAGATCTTGTAATAGGATTATGAATGTCGGTGACAATGACTCTGATTCGATATTCTGTATCATGTTATTTTCATATTGAAGGAAATGGAATGGCTCAACCAGGGAAATGTTCTAGTGGCTCAACAAATGAATGGGCTTCCTCTTACATTTGAAGCGCAAACTGTTAAAAAACATGTGCATATTAGTATACTTCTGTTTGAAAGGGTCATTATATCACTTGATTCTATGTCTTTGTCTTCAAATTATTGTGTGAATGGGGCCTAGTGTGTTCTCCACAGGTTTACGCAGGTTTACTTGAACCCAGTGAACTCATCTTATTAACCACCTGGCTCGTGTGTAAATCGGGCCTCGTGTTTATCAGATGTTCTCCACAGGTTTATACGCAGGTTTACTTGAGCCAAGTAAACTCATCTCATTAAACACCAGGCTCGTGTGTAAATGGGGCCTAGTGTTTATCAGGTATTCTCCACAAGTTTACTTGAACCCAGTGAACTCATCTTATGAAACATCAGGCTTGTGTGTAAATGGGGCCTAGCCTAGTGTTTATAAGGTGTTCTCCACAGGTTTCACACAAGTTTACTTGAAGTCTTGAACCCAGTGAACTTGTCTTATTAAACACCAGGCTTGTGTGTGAATGTGGCCTAGTGTTTATCAGGTGTTCTCCACAGGTTCACACAAGTTTACTTGAACCCAGTGAACTCGTCTTATCAAACACCAGGCTCATGTGTGAATGTGGCCTAGTGTTTATCGGGTGTTCTCCACACATTTACTTGAACCCTGTGAACTCATCTTATTAAGCACCAGGCTTGCATGTGAATGGGGCCTAGTGTTTATCAGGTGTTCTCCACACATTTACTTGAACCCTGTGAACTCATCTTATTAAGCACCAGGCTTGTATGTGAATGGGGCCTAGTGTTTATCAGGTGTTCTCCACAAGTTTACTTGAACCCAGTGAACTCATCTTATTAAGCACCAAGCTTGTGTCATACCTTGACACATCATCTATGTAGGTCAGCTTATGTTCAAGTTTGTCTGTAACACCACATACAATCCCGTGGTGATGAGAGATACAACATACGTGCTAGATTGATGGAGAAATAAAGAAATGCTTCATATAGTGGGAGAGAGTGCAGATTGAGTTTACGAGAGAGGAAAGTTTGATCAGGTGTAGTTACTTTCATACTTGTATTTAGTACTTAGTAGTAATAGGAGAAATATATCTTTTTGAGATGTTGTTTGTAACGAAAAACAATGACACTCACACTGAGGCCCTTTTAGCTCTTAACAGATGATAAAGTGACATTGTTGTCTTCCACCTTGCCCCCATAATGTTTAATTTTCTGTCGTTGTGAGGTCCCTTTTGGACTAGTAACAAAACCCAATATATCCCAACCTCCATTATAGTTGAGCTGTACCCCCTCCCCCCCCCCCCCCCCCAATGAATATGATTCGATACATACCTCAGAGTGTATAACAGATAAGAGTAATATGCTTTATGTAGACGATGAGGAATTGGGATTGGAGAGGGAAGGGGTATGAATTCTTCATGTAACCCAAGTAAAGAAGTCAATGTCAAATCTCAAGTATAGAGGAGGGGTAATACCAGAAGCAAAGAGGTACAATTTCTTTGTAACAGGTACCATTTAGGTTACAACCATAGCAGGTGTGTTGATATACTCACAAATCTGTTTGTTGACAAGCAGTATTGATTTCATAGTAAGATTTTAGCATTGTTTAGAGCAAGTTTAATCAGCTTGAACTACATGTACATGGAGGTTGGGATAGGTTCATGGAAAGGACAGAGTTCATAGGTCAAGTGTAAAGACAAGTTTCAGATGTGGCATTAGTGAAAGTTTTTTTGGGAAAATGACAGCAAATGGAAGCAATAATAGTTGATTTGAAGTTACCAAGAAATAGTTTATTGGATAAGCGAATATTACATATCTAGAAGTGAATGAATCAAACTTATTTACCACTCAAAAATTTGCAAATTGTTTCTTTTTGTAGGTATCAATTAATGCTTTCATGTTTCATTTTGTTTGTACTGAGGTAAATGTCAATAAAGCGATCTTTTAACAGATGGGAAGGGTAAAAATATAAAGTCACAAGATTTTGGCATTTTATATGTGAGTAGTGACACAAATGTCAATTACAATCTGATATGTAGAGAAATGGGCGGGGCTATGAATATCAAGGGTTATTATTGTAAAGACGTGATCATTAATCATTTCGTCATGGGAGAGATCTGATGATGAAAAGTCAGATTGTCGCCAAGAAAATGGCTTTTGTTTGATTTCTTCTTTATCAAAATCCTTGGTCTTATCACAAACAATAAGA